TCTTCCTAAATATATTTTGTTCTTGTTACGTAACTTTGGATTCCTCCATCCTCCTTCTCTCTCTTATTTTTTTCCAACTTTCTTTTAAGTCAATCTTTTTTCTTTCCTGATTTGAATTTTGATCTTGAAAGAGCAAAGGAGTATTTGTTACGATTCTATCATTACTAACGATATTGACCAGTGGTTAATGTCCCAGTGACAGTAGTAGGATAAAGGATGTTGTTTCTCAACAAACAATGGATCCACTGAATAGGACTGGGAAAGTTCAGCAACAAAGTTCAACAACAAAATGCGATCTACAAGTACGATAAAAGTTACTGTAACAATCTCCTTGCATACTGTCTTTGCGAATTTTTCCCGATGGGATTCGGAAATCTCCTCAAGACATTATTGGCTACTTTACGTAAAGTGAAAGGGTTAAATCACAGATCTTCCCCAGACAGTATAGGTAAGATTTGTGGTTGAGCATTGTTGTCTGATAACTGAACGTACAGTTGAAATTTAATACATTGCATATTTTTGGAAACTAATCTTTATAAGCATAACCGAAAACGTTGGAATTTCTAAAATGAAAATTTCGCAGAAGATTGAGGAAAAAACAATGAAAAACTTTTAACATACTGTGGAAATTCTGATAGGTGTGAGGCCTCCACCAGTTACAGTAAATCCCCAGGGAATTGTACTGTTACTGCGATTCATCCGTACTGTAATCGTTTCGCATGCCATTTTTTTTCTATCGAATAACTGTAGACTTTCAAAAAAAAAAAATTTTGCCGGTCAAAAATTGTTGTAACAATCGTTATATGGATCAATACATTATGCTTTAAGTATCTGGCCAGAAATTAGTTGAATTTCACTTCTTTGTAGGAAAGATTGCTTCTCCAAACTGAAAAGCAGCAACAAGTGGTGAAGGAATAATTTGTTAAGTAAACTGGCATGCAATACGAATTATTAAACTGTACGTGCATTAACTCATGTCTAGTTTCACACGTAACTTTCTTTTTATAACCTAAGTGAATTCATAGATTAAACGTATTCTTTTTCAACAAGACTGTATTTCAGACTTTCTCAAATTACCTTATATGACATCATTATGCACTGCTAATACTATGCAAATAATTGATAATCTGTGGCACAAACAATAATATATGAAGAGAAAAAAAAGTCTTGGTCAATTATTAAGCGGTAAGATGGCGAAACTTATGGTATATATGCAGATAAGTGGAAGGAAGGTACGTTGAACATATTGCGTTAATCGATCTCAAAATATACTTCTTGCTTTAACGTTTTTTGATCGTCATGATAACAATGATGACAACAATCATAGCCACAGAAAAATGTTGCCATTAACTATGAGAGGAGTCTTGACGTAATTCGAGAATTTTGCTAAGCAAAACAAGACTTACTGCACTTTCGATGCTAACATTCTGACGTAAAGACAGAAAGCGTGACCGCTTCATAACAATCCGAATACTTTCACCAATAGAGAATGCGATAACTAAAGGTTCAAAAATAGGTATAACATGAAATCAAACCGACAAAAGTTTAAAATTGGAACAAAGACCAGAATATTATCAAGCACAACTCCTGCCATTTCATTTTGCTTTCGAGACCAAAGTAATCTTTCTAGTAGTCTATACTTAATTGTACTTGAATCTCTATTTTAACACTCTTTAAGTTTTAAGTTTAAATTTCGATGTGCTTTAAATGTTTTCAAATGAATTTGGGTATTTTCAAGATACCTGAGTCATCCTTTTGAAAAACAAACAGGGTAAGAATAGGCGAGAGGTCAATAATCAAAATGTTTAAGAAAAACAAAAGGAATCTTAGATAAAGAATTTGTGAGATGGCTTTTTTCTTTTTTTATATCAATCAGCAAAAGCAATGTTTTCAAACATCTGAGACAACAACTGGAAACCATCTGTTATCTGAGGTTTGTTGCCTTCAAATATCCCAACACTATGCTTTTCAGGAATCATAATAATTAAGAAATATTTTATCATTATGATTCTCCGAAAAGAAGCAGATAATGCATTTTAAAAAATGTTCAAATTTCAAATGATGAAGTGGGACGAACAGGCAGTACAATAAAGTAGCAGTAATAATTACTGCTGCTTTTGGTGACAGATGACAGATAAAATTGGAATTGCTTTTTTTTTTCAATTTTAGATTCGAAAGATTCATTACTGATTGCTTAAATTTCAATTAACTTAGATGTTAGATAGCCACATATTTATGTATGGAGAAAAAGACTCGCTTTTTCTTTACACATAAAGGAAGACGAGAAAGAAAAATAACGAAAAAAGTACTATGCATATAATGTGATGGCGGTTAAATGAACTGCGTGTGGTCAGTTCGAAGCCATGGGGTCAACTTCCTATCATTCTATTATCGATAAACAACAAATACCGTTATTGATTAATTGAAAATCACTCAGTTTCATAGGAATTAGCTACAATGAAGTAATGAGCGATATCTTAGCAAGAAAAAAGAATAAGAGAGGATGTAATTCCATAGAAAATCCAAAAAATAAAATGTTTATTAAGTAGAAGGAAGGCTTGTTCGTTTTTTTTGACAATTCAGGTTGACCTCACAACACGAATTGTCTTCCAGGAAAACGAGCATTGAATGAGGAGGAGGGCTTCTTTATCTTTTATCCTCAATCAATGATGAATCATTTGATAAATGCTAGGAAAAATTTAATTAAAACAGATGAGAATTATTTTAAGACTTGGAATATGGACGGAATTAAGGCTTAGAGCAGACTGAAGAACCTCTGATCAGGCAGGCTTGAAGTAGCAGCAAACGGAGGAAGTGGAAGCCTGTTGAGCCCCAGCTATATTGTCATTGCGCTCTCTTGAGCTTTCATAATTCATTGCTCAAGTTCATTTCACTTCCCAAGCTAGCACTATTATCAACTAACAAGAGAAACAACTTGTGATCAAAAGCCACATTTCCTCTTTCTTTTGCCAGGAAAGAGTTAACATTTCGTGTTGAAAGACAAAAATAACTGAAATGTTTGAAAACGATGTGGAACTTTCAAACAAATAATCCAAACTTTTCATTAATGTTCTCCTCAATGAATGAAATAACTTTCAATGACTTTTTACAAAGGTAAGATGCCATTTTGATGCACGGAAAACGATATGTACTTATGAAAGCCTTTTTTTTCACTCAAATTTGAATTTGAAAATTGATTCATCATAAATGCAATGAAAGCATTTCTTATAGATGGAAGTTACAGGGATTGCTTCTGTTTTGGACAACAAATTTTGCTTGTAGAGGATTTATAGCTCTGCACCTTTGCAATGGTATATACGAAACAAATTGTGAAATAATGTCAAGAAGAATGCCATAACTACGCCTAAATAATCGAACTGAAGATAAAAGGTGATAGCAATTAGTAACAATCACTGAGAGGTTGTATTAAACACTGATAATTGAAGAATACCATTCACTACTATGTAATAATGAACAGTACGGTACATCTTAAACTATCAACAAACATTAGCGCATTGCATATGACGTGCTGAATTGCAGATACTGATCGTATGTTTAAGTTGCAAGCACTGCTGAATGCACGTATTAGCGCAATCTGCGATGCAACTTGGTGATTATGCGCACTTATGCTTGATAACGATGTTTTGCTTGTTTAGATTTGAAAACATAATTTGCATTCTTGGTTTGCTGAATTACTCAATGAGCATGCATTTTGACAACCTGGAATTTATAACATAATTAATGATAGTATTGAAATCTATTCAGTTTTGAAATTAGTGATCAAAAAGTAGCAAAGGAGAATGTATCATTAATTTTTAGGGTTACTGATAAATGCTTATTGGTACTTTTAACTCGACTTCCAAACGAAATTAATGCTTGCTTTTGTTACCCACCTTCATAACAACGCCGCGATGGATTCTGCTGTGATGTTGGATGTAAAACAGGTACCTGTGTTGTCTGACAGCTTTGATGGCATTGCATGTTGCATTGCAAATGGCATACAGGTTTACTTTGGCCCGATACAATGCAGTTTTGCATGCTGCATTCCCCAAATAGAATATTTTGTTGCATAAAGTTCCATTCTTACCTATTACCCGTCTCCACATCTAGAACTTTTTTGCTGGCAAACATTTTAAGTATTTACAGAACATAGCTTTGTACATCATCTCTCATTTGATATTCATTAATGAGCAATACCTGACAGTTAAATCAGGAATGAATGTTAAACAAATTTGACATTTGAAATTTCAACATCAGAACTTAACGTGATGAATTGGATGACCTGTGAGAAATCTGATACATAGCCCAATTTGCATTACTGCAGTGAGATGTTCATGCAAAATATGTTGTAGCGAAACTTACATCATACTTTTATCCAAACGCGTAAGTGAAACAATTAATGGTGTAGGTGTACTTGACGGAACGACGAATACAAGTGTCCTAGGAAAGTTATTGGGATCGTAGCAGGTAATTGAGAGATAACAGAGATCATCAGTTTCGCGCACGCTGACTTGCGTGTTTAGATAGCTGCCAACAGACTGCGTCTAAAGTCTGTTGGCAGCTATCTAAACATAGCACTTGCCACCAGTTTTGAGCGTGGCATATTGCGATGCATGTTACACGACAACTACCTTCACAAGTAATTGGTAGCGGTGGAAGGTCAGGTTGATAAGATGGAGTAATCAATATGGCAGACTGATGAATTGAGATGCATGCCTCTGTGCATGTTGGCTGACACATTTGCGTGCACGGCGTTGATGGAAAACTCTTGGAAGTGATGAGACGCATCTGCTTGGACAGTTTCGGGTGCAGGGCGATTGGTAAACAGTGGTTTGCGGGATAGACAGAAATGCTTGTTGGCTACACATCTGCGAGCAACCTTGTTGGCAAACAACTTGCAAGCGCTATATGCCTCATGGCAATTCGCTGCACAGATTTGTGGGCACTGCGAGATGCAATCCAGTGGACTGTTTGCTTGAAATTGCCAGTTGATCTTGTGACCTTGACATTACTTCCAGAGCCTCTGCTGGCGCAACTGTCAAATAACCTATTCCACATAATTGTGTACATAATTCCTTGCAACCTTTTTGACACAGTGGGGATGGTTTATTTTGCCATGTATTATACTCTGTCATGCAATTTGAAGAGCATATTTGCATGCAGCTGGGAGAAGGCGACATTTTAGGAAGAGGGAACATTGGCTGTACTGCTTCCCGTATAATTGAGATCTAAAATTTATTAAGTTGGAAGAATCGAGAATTTGACAATGACACATTCAATTTGCACAATTTATTTATCGCTTTCAAATAATTCAGAAATGAGTATTAGTAAAATAAAAATTTTGAAATGAACCAACCGATGCCCTAGTTGGACGATAAAAAGTGGTACAAGCTTGCTGGCAACTAAGTACGCAAACAGGCGACACCCTAAGAATAATGATTTTGCGATATTTCAAACAGTTAATTTCAAACCTATTTTTCAATTTTTTATTTTCAATTACCCAAAAAAAAATCTCGAAAATAATTTTCGGTCATTTTGGAGATTCTTTGGATAAAGTTTTTATTTTCTTTTACAAATGAAGGAGCGTTTATCTGTGCAATACCTCAATGCTGGTTGATTGTTCGCTATGCATGATTGCATACATAATTTTCTGCAGGTTGATTGACATGGTTTTGCTGATAATGATAACGAGATTTAATTGCAACTGCATGCTGCAGTTGAATGGTCAAGTGGTGACGTTTTATTTCTATAGCTACAGTAATGTTCATGCAATGCAGCATGCATTGCATGAACATTACTGTAGCTATAGAAATAAAACGTCACCATTTGATTACAAGGACATGCAATGAATATCCTCCGTTTTTGCTTAATTTCAGCCTTTATTGCAAATTATCTTAAAATATTTTTTGAAACTTGGATTACTTTTTAAATGTATAGATAAATCAGAAAACATTTTCATAAAAAAAGAGCACAGATATCGCTTACTTATGAACAAATGCAAGATGATACTATTTGCATACAGCGACATTGTCATCAAAGGCGTGAGATTTAACATTCACATTCAATGAATTCTAAAAGACAGGTGTCTTTCTTCCTTCATTCATTTCCATTTGAAAGAATTTTGAAAGGGATGAAATGAAAGAACAATAGCACATTTTTTTGAATGTCTATGAGAAGCTGAAGTTCTTCTTGAAAGCACTGCTTCTCAATTCAAATTTGTGTGTTTTCTTCAAGCGATGAAGTCTACTAAAGCAAATCAATAATTTGTTTGTCAACCATTGGAGAAATAAATTAAAAGGAATCCTCTAGTTCTTTGTAAATTATCGACTACATTACTTCAAAGTGATCCGTAACACCAAGTCTCATTAAGCGAGTTAATTACACCCCACTGTCCACTGTGCTTTCTAAATAGATCAAAATAATGCATTGCCAGTATACTTGGTCATTTTTGCCACCTTGATTTTGTTTATCTTTTAAATTCCTATATTTCAATGTTCTTTCCGAATTAAAAAATAATTTGCTTAAGCAGTTGAAATTAAAATTTACGTTTGGTGAATGTTTTGTAACCAAGAAAGCAGTAAACAGGACGGTTGAAAGAACTGCGCCAAACACCTGGGCCATATTCTTTTTTATAGAAGTTTTGCAATATGTAGAATTTGGAAAATGATTCTAATAAAATGGAAGATTCAGTTGGTTCTATATATATATATATATATATTATATGTGCATAAGTACAAACGGAACGTAAGACTGATCGGTTCGGAGCTCCATTCCATTTTTCGGAAACGAGAATTACAAAATTATTGGAATCAATACTTTTTGTAATTCGTCGATAAACAGATTAGTCTACTTTGAGGCAAATAACATCACTTGTGATACTTTTTTTTAAAAAAAATTAGTCATTTTTCTACGTAAAAAAAATAATAATTCATCTGTTTTATCAAGGTTTTCCCTCCGTATCGAAATTTTCAGCCAGAAATTTAAATATTTAAAAACAAGTGAACTTAGTTAAGTCAGTGCCTTTTCTCTTTGTCACATGCATTTTCAGATCTTGCATCTTATGAATTTTAGATTTAACGAATCAATTCGACAGCAAAGCTTTTTAAATTTATTTCTAGCCTTATTGTGTAAGATGAGCGACTTAATGTTGGTCCAGCACTATAATCCATTTGATTTTTTAAGTGATACCATTTCCCACTCTCTTCTCTACGAATTACTTTCCTGTCTTGTGGTTTCAATTTTCTTGCAGAGATTTGAGTTGTCTGATTGAATGAAAATTAAATGCATCATACTTTACGATATTTCCCATCTTTTATTTCCCATTTTCTTAATTGCTATCACTGCTACTATCTCTTTCGCCATTTTCTGAATGCACTTCTTAAACTTGCTTTGAAAAAATCGAAACGCAAGCAATGAAAGCAGTAGTGATATGGAATATCAACGTTCAAAGTTTTGCTTTAACTATACTATTAAGTAAAAGAGTATTTCAGTATCAGTAGCAGTGCAACCATCATTCTTTCTCAATGTAAACAGTCTTATGATGTATCGAAACAGTAGAGGTGACAGTGACAGTAAAATTCTTCATTCATCACAGTTATTTCATGCACATTTTTTGATAAAAACATGATTACTAAAGCAGTTAATGCAAGTAAAGCTAGGACTGCTGTCTAGGAGTGGCGCAATTTGCTGCAGTGATATATGAAGTGCCGAGAGTGTGGAAAGATTTTCTTAGAGCTGATTAAATTGAAAAGTGATAAAGTGCGAATTGATTTTTGGTTTATTGGACATATTGAGCAGTTACAAAGCATTTTATTGAAACTTCTTAGAACTAGTAAAACTCTTTACAAATTTATAACAAATTATTTTGCATAATAAGGTTCATAAAGTGAAACATCCTTTCTTGATTATCCTTTCTATTTTCTCTGTTTTGTTATTATTAGTTTCTGGTGTCTCTTGAAGCTAATTCAAGAAAATTATTTTGTAATGAATTAATGACTGGCTTAGACGTATGTCACTCATTCTAAAAAATTTTTGGCAAATTCCGGTCATTATATGTAGTATTTTTGTGAAATTGATGAAATAGAAAACACTATTATCCACTAACTTTATCAAGGTCAAAAGCTTAGTATTTAGTTGCCGAATATTTATCCAGCCGATGTGATACATTTCGACAAAGGATTGTTGCAGGATCTTAGATTCTAGTTAATTCTGGTTGTCGACCATCAAGATTCCCGGAATTTGAAAATTTATCCTTAGTGCTTGAAGATGAACAGAAAAAGTGAAATATTTGAATGTCGGCGTCATGAGTGTTTTTCCGGAAATTCGATTGAGGCGGATCCGGACCACAGTGGTGGTGGCAGCATCATAAGTTCAACTCTTTAGATTTTTGATCTATGATGTCGTTAGAGTTTAAAGGTAAATCAGGAAAAAAATTGTTAAGTATGGGGAATTTCGTAACGAAACACAGTGTTTCTACTTTACTGTTTTATGTGAAAATTTATTACTGTTGGTAAGAGCTAAGCATTTTGTTTCCAATGTTTTTAGAGAAGTATTGCTTAGTTTTTAATAAATTACCTATGCAAAAATTGAATTTAAACATGCCAATATTTCAAACAAATTTGGGCAATGAGAAGTATTTTCTCCAAAAGAAAAAACTTTTTGTCTTTTTCCACTCGGTCAAGTCTTTATTCAATCCAAAATTTGAGCAAAGTTTTTAAAAGTTTTCAAATTGCGTACAAGGATGAAATTATAAAATGAATTTCCCTATTATTAAGTTAATTATGCAACGATTGCAAGCAAATCTTCGAGAAACTCATGCTGAGCCTGAATAAAAGGCCTCCATAAAACTGTAAGAAAATATATCAGCGAAACCAGAGAGGTGTTCATGAAGAATGTGCTGAATAGAATAGAGAATTCCGTGATGAATTCATCCAATATCGGGATTCCGGAAGATAAGAAACTCTTTAATCAGCATTTTTAAAAAAACCGGTAAATCTGATTCACAACCAGTTAGCTTTCATTAAAAGCATTTGACGATGGCAAAGAATATTTGAAATATTTTTGTTATTTGTTTAATATATTAGAACAACCTGTCGTAGAATGGTTATATGTTCTGCATTTCATTCATTTGTTGAGATTAAGCAGAAAGAATATTACGGAACACAAATAATTTGCTTTTGATCAGGCCATTTTGGCTAATTCAGTTATGATAGAAATGAGCCCAACATACTATTGCACTATAATAATCCATTTTTACTTGTTGAAAATTAGATAAAATCTAATATTCCTGTTGATAACGAATAAACTGGAAGATTTGGACTAATGGATGGTATAAGAAAGACTAAAAGCACTCTCTTTAACGCTCTTCAAATGGATCACTGCAGAAATTAGGATTCATTTGAAAAGGAAAGTCCTAGACAACGATAAGATCAGTATCAGTTTTCATTACACGACCTGTCATTATTGTATGCATGACATAAAATGAAATTTTCTTCCATCGCTTATACTTTGTTTCATTGTAGAATCTGTATAAAAATTTTAAAAAAGTAACTTCCCTTTTAAACTGTTCAAAATTTAGTTAAAATTTTCAAAAACTGTATGACGCAATATAGTTATTATTTAATTCTTCAAGTAAAAATATTCAAGTTTTAAAAGATATGAAGAAGAAATTCACAACAATTGTAAGAGAAGTTGAAAGATTTTTGATAAAAGAAGTATGGCATTTTAGGAATTAGATGGCGATAATGCAAAGATAAGTTTTGGAATTGAAAAAGAAATATTTTTATTGCAAATTTTGTTTCATATTCAAATTGCTCTTTGCTCCATATTTTCAAACTAATCGACAATTTCTACGTGAAAAAAGAAAAAAAAATGATGCGAACCAATCAATCTTATACAACCTTTAGGTTCTACAATTTCCAGTAATTTTTAGAATTTCATAAATATGTCATATTATGAGTTGCTTAATCAAAATAATAAGGAAAAACTGCCAGAAGAGTAGCTATTATTCTTGAACACTGAACTGAAGGAATGATAATTTATCAAAATTAATATCAGTTGCTCAAAATTAGAGAAAATAACAAGAACGAAATCAGAAAAACAGAAACCTTATACATCAGTGATGGTAAGCCCCCGTGGTAATACTGATGGTCCACCTGCTCGTAGTTCTTCTTCTGAGTAGTTTAGCACCGAAGAGATTGGCAATGTACCAGCCACCTTGCAAACCGGTAGCTTCGATGACGGTGGCAGTGATTTATGTTTCTGAGAATTGGACAGTGTGTTCACTGAAAGTGTGAAGTTAGAAACATAGGACACCAAAAATTTGTCAATTACATTTAAAGAAAAATTAGGTCAGTACTATGAATGAAATACAAGTTTCTTCGATCTAAAATAGAAAAAAAAAAGAATTTGATAGTCTTTCCCAAAAGGATCAAAGTATGATTAAACGCATTAGTCAAGTGGATTCAAAGCTGGAATCTTTGAAATGAGTGGAGAAGACCTACTTGGGGAAGATCCGATTGCTGTAGATACTGCAGTGGCGTTAGTTCGTGGTGATTCGACATCAATCTGAACCGTTTTTAATTCTCGGAATGTTGGATGTGACAGTGGAACAGATAGGTGTCGTTGACATGAAGCTTGTTGTTCGATCGCAGATGACCTAACAGTGCCAAACGGTTCCGTCGTCTGATCAGTGAACTGCACTGGTATATCTTCTGCAGAATTAGCGCGTTTGCTGTATGAATAAAGCAAAACAGTAAAGGACAAGTCCTAATTGGATTATTTAACTATTTTTCAATGAAAGATCTTTTGAATATTAATTAAAAAGCATGAACATTATCCTGATAAGTAAATAAAAGTTGAATTTACTATTGTTATGATAAGCCATCCCATTATCATTTAGTTTATGAGCTGAATAAATATACCGGAAAACATAATTGGTTGTCGCGGAGTAGCGATAAACGAAGAAACAGATAGTGTGCTCACTGATACGCTGTCCATAAGTACTGCTTTGCATTGACACTTTGGACAGTTTGGATTTAAGCACTCCGCTAAATATATTTGTAAACATCTGAAAGGATATTGATTAAATGAATAATTCACAACTATACGTTTGTGAGATATTTAGCAACATTAATAAGTGGAATTTTCAGAACATGGGATCACCATGAATGGCAATTCACTTTTCATATTCAGAAAATCAATTATTTACATTTTGGATTCAAATTTTTTCGTACTTTTCGAAATCTTAAATTTTTAAATCCTAATTCTTATTTTCAATTTCAGAATTGTTCAGAAGCAAAGATATTAGAATCAAATAGACAGGCCTTTCATGAAAAATATGGGAGCATCGAAGTGCCTGCAAGGAAACATCTTGTAGTCCATATCGTTGTCCACAGAAATTGCAAAATAATTCCATCTCTTGTGTTAATGATGTCACCGCTCTTCTGGCTAACTCTTCACTATCCTCATCATTCAGCTGATTATAAAGATCCTGTAGTCTTAGATGACATTTCATCATTGCATGCTAAAAGATTTAATCTTAAACAGCACTGAGAGAATCTCAGATAAAAAAAAAAATTATTAAAGAATATGAACTAAATTTAAATGACTTTTCTAAATATCATTCAAAATTAATTGCTAGTTGAAGTATTGAATTTTATAAGGACAAATACTCACCCTACATCCGATTGCCTTAGCTACTTCTAGGCATTTTTTGTTGAGTTGAATAGCCTGCAAATATTAATCTAAGTTTGCACAATCATTAAGTAATTCGAAATAATGAGTCAGCTATTAGTTTTAGATTTTAAAAAGTTGACGTAAAAACTGTTTTCATCTGTTATACTTGTATGAAAATTCATCTTTTCATCTTTTATGTTTCAAAAAATCAGAAAAGATTTAAGCGACAACTAAAAGATGAATTTGAGCACAAAATGTGCCACAAACATGCAATCTTTCACTTTTAAAACAAGATAATTGGTCATTCTCGCCATTATTGATTGATAAGAAGAAGTAACTGACCTGACACTCACATCTACCGGTGTAAAAAGTACGGTATTCGGAGGCTGACCTAGCCATACTACCAAGAACTAATATTTCACCCATGCGATCATTTGTTTGACGCATTATTCGATAAGCTTCTTCGTAACGAGACCAGCTTTTCTGGAACATCTCTTGGAAAGAAATACAAATTTGATATTCAATATCATTATTAAACAACCTCAATTAATGTCAAATTAATTGTAAATCAGTGATATTTGTGTGTTTGATCATTTTTCTTATCATTATTTATGATTTAATTATCTTTGAAAATGAAATGTGTTCATTGCACATATATGCTACCATACAATGTTCCTATTATTACATGTTGTTTTTGCTTAAAAGCGTACGGTAAAAGTTTCTTTGGCTTCAGATTCCCCCAAATCACGACATATATTAGCCATGGAGCACAAACAACGAGCATAGACAGAACGATTGCCAGTTTCTTGAGCCAACTTCATTGCTTCCTGTAGAAATATTGCAGATCACGATCGATGCTTCGAATTTGCTTGCTGTTTGCTCTGTGTTAACTGTAGTAACTCAAGTGAGTCCTTGAAATAGAAGACGCAAAATAGTTGTCACATCTGGCTGATATCAAAAAAGAAAAGAACTTCACACTTTCAGATATTCTCACAGTAGGAAAGGTTTCATGTGAGATTATGTATTGAAAATATGATTTAAATTATCACATTTTGAATTTGTGATTTGAAATGGGAAGGAAACATACATCACATGTCGCTCTCGCATCTGCCAGTGAACCGTTTGTCCGGAGGACAACTGATAAGTGATAAAGTATAACGCTACGGTATTTTGCATGTACATCATTGATCGTTACACCTTCCAGAATTGTTAGTGCATTTCGCAAGAACAAAATCGCCTTCGATAAATCCCTAATATTTGCAATTTGACAATTACAATTGATAAATATTGCCTTTCATGAAATTTTGCCGAATTTATTTCGAAATATCTTGAAACAATGATTGAAATAAATTACCTTCTGAATTTAATTATCAGAAAGCAATAAAAGGGTGGATGAGAAATGATATGAGGCTATCATTTTAAATTTTCTTTGGGAATCTTATCTATATATCTGGCTCTACCGTAAACGATCGATAACATGCCGTCAGAACATAAAATTACCTTTGCAAATTTTCTAGCATAAATAATCAAAGCCATGACAAAATAGGAAACCTGAGCAAGGTGAAGAGAACACCAAGTCCAACACACACTTGTAATTCCAATAACCTATCAGAATACTGATTCGCGACACACATCGCTTTTTCAAATGCTTCCAGGCTAGCTTGGAACTGACTGAATCCAAGCTGTGATAAGGCCACAACTTTAATGAATAATGTAAATGAAAATAAAGTACAGTAAATTAGATATCTTAGTTTTCATTCTAGTTGTCTTTGTTGTCCCTCTACCATACCTACAAACTGAAATTTCGAACTCTCATACTTTTGAAACCAAAATAACAAGGCAGTATCCGGCAAAAAAAGTGATGGGACAATATCTAGAAAAAAAATCATGGTGTAAAATGTGAAATCATAGCAATATACATTTGCAACTTCTCGCCCAACATTTTTTGCAGATTTTAATCATAATTTTGAATAAAGAAGGAAATAAGTGGGACCGAGATGCGCATGCCCAGGAGTTCCCGGATCCATGCTTGGATGTTGTAGACTAGCACGACCGTAGCCAATTGCTTTGCCGAAATCAGCCAATCGTTCATATGCTTTAGCCAGGTTCAGAAATGCTTCACTTTTCATGAACTCGTCTTGCTGAGTATTGGCCAGTTCTGTTTGTTGCAAAGCGTATCGCAACATCTGCTGGTAATTACCTGCATCACAGTATGTTTGCGTCATATATCCGAGTGTTATGAAACGGTCCTCAGCATTTCTGCAATAAAAATCACAAATTGTGAATAATAAATTTGGTAAATTTGTGATTTGTAATAGTCAGAAATGATGAAGAAATAAGTCAGTGAATCTCTGTGTTTTGAACCATTTATAGAACAAATCAATTAAAATTCTTTAAATTTCTTCTTTGATAATAATTAATAGTATTCTTTTAGAGTATTCTCAACATTAATCAAAATCAATTTGAGTAGTTATTGGAAAGGTGGCTTACGTAAGTCGTCGAAGAGCAGCTCGCCAACGAGCAATGGCCTGTTGATGGCGTCGTTGATGATAGAGTTTAACGCCGGATTGCATGTGGTGCTTGGCGACACGTTGACCCATCGATATCCAGTTATCCTCGATTCTAATACCCATTAGAAACGTTGACGCACCCTCTGAAGTAACGAGTAATTTTTCATTCCTTTTTCTGAAAAAACATTGGATTGTTCAGAAATGTTGTTTTCCTTTCGTTTTTCTGCATTAATGAACATTATTTTTATTTAATCCTAAATTTCAAACTGTTTTAATGTTCTCGAATTGAACCCAAATTTGCTTAAATCCTACCTTTTTTGGAAGACATTTAAAAGCTACTTCTTTTGTCATATGACAAATCTCGACTAGTCGACTTCTAGTAGTATTATGATACGCAATTCACTTTTTGAGATAGCTGTGTGAATCCTACATTCGATTTATATCCTTGTCACATTTCTTTCGGTGTTTTTATCTAAGTGAATGAGTACCTTTCTGTTATGAAGGAATTACTACTGCTTGTCTGAGGAAACATGATAAAATACAACAACATAATTTGGTTTAATTAATGAGGTAATTAGTCTAATTAGTGAAGCAATCTGTTTTAATTCACTGAATGACAAAGATGAAATGTTTATAGCAGTTCAGTATAGCTCGGGAACAGTTGCTCTCTAAGAAAAATATTATTAGTAAGATAATCAGTGAAGAAAAACAATATAGAAAAATAGGACCGCCGTCCAGAAGAGATGTTGGGTGATGCTGAGAAATTCCACTATAAGACGAATGAAGCTTTCAATATAAAACGAATGAAGTTCTTTATAGTTGTTGAATGTGTTCAAAAATCATCCATTTATATCAGCTGACAGAAAACAATCAAGAAAAGTTCAAAAAGTAAATTTTGACTGTAATTTATCCAGGTTCTGAAGGACATCTTTAGGTGTTCTAAAAGGACCGTTATGAAATGTGAAGAATTCTCGGAATGTATCCCATATAGAAGAACTTTTCTGAAGTATTTCAAGAAATTTTGACATTTTCATGCATTTAGAAATTAACGAAAGCCATAAAATGTTCTACATTGATGCTTCATAGTAACTTTACTCTTTTAAGCCTTTTTGGTTATTTCAAAGAAAAAATTATTCTGAGAAGAATTTCCAGGGAAATGATACGGATAAGTATCAAGATTGCAAAAGAAGGTAGATGATATATCGTGTAACTTGATCCAGTTTTTAGTACTTCACCAGATTCACCCAATTTTTTCCACAAACTCTTTTTCCTTTTTTTTAATAATACAGCTGCATGGTTAACACGGTGTGAATTACTTGCTTAAAAGTAACTCATGCGAAGTACGAAATCTTTCATTCTAATATTAGCGCATTCGGTCACGCGAGATCATTTTTATCTCATTTTGACAAAACTAAGATTTCCAAATGCAAGCTTTATTTAGCTTCAGGAAAATATCTAAATTAAACTTTTGAACTTCGATTTTCGCTACTATAGATTTAGTTTTCTTTTGAAATCAAGTCATTTTTAAGGAGGTCAACGAGAAGAAGGTCAGCAGTCTCCATAACAATCATACCTTTGGCAGAGAAATGAGCTTGAAATTTAATTATGCTAGAAGTACATTACGGCCGCTACATCCATCTGATGATTTACTGATTTTGGCAATATCTGATTTTTAAAAATGATTTATTCGAATTAAAATAGGATTTAATAAGTGCTAGTTCAAAATGAAAATTAAGGTAAGGCTTGTTCATTTTCATAATGATATATCAACGTTCTTAAAATGTCAATTCTTAATCATTTATTATAGCTTCTTTGTGATTAGCTAAAGCACAATTCCATATTTGCATTTTTTTAGTCAAAAAATCAGGTCACTCACTTTCGCTTTAGCGAAGGAAATGACCGAAGGAGGAGTTAGCAAAGTGAGAGCATCAGTAGAAGAAAAATTGAAAAAAGTGGAAAACCTGTAGCATTTCCTGAAAACAAAGAAGAACCAAATTTCTAATCCCAGAATAGCATTGTCTAGCTTAAAAATTAAGAACTTAAGATTATCCATATGTAGTTATGGTTTGTGATTAACTTTTACATGGTGAATACACTTAAAAAAGAAGAGAGAGAGGAAAAAACTTTTCAGGAAAACCTTTCTTGCCGGTAGAGTTAATGTCTGAAAATTTCAAATCTTTTAATCATTAAACGTTTGGAATAGAACCGGAAAAATAGATAATATAAAACTGAATGGAAAGTATTAAGCGAACTTGCTTGAAAATATTGAACCTTTTAGGGAGATTTTCCCATTGCTAATATTACGAAACGAAATTTTCTCAGAAATAATTTGAATGGCTGAAGCAAAGTCGGCTTTGGGTTGTTCCAGAAAGAGAACGATAATCGATAAAATGTAAACTTCCTTAAATCGTTATAGAAATATTTTCGCATAGACTGATTACATTGCTAAGTAATGAAATATGAGAATATGTCCAATAAAATGGCGACGAATGTGTAGGCGTTAAAAAGTGCTGTCCCACAAAATCTTTTTCCAACAATTAATCAGAAGTTAATCTTTGATCGAATATCGGGCAAATTTTATTTTCTCCTTGTGATTAATTTCTTCGTTTATTTTGAAATAAAAGTGAATTCCACCACAAAAAAGAATGGAATAACGTGAAGTGATACTTTGCATGTTGCTTTATTATATCACTGCGAACAGTCTGGTTTACAGTGATATGATAAATCAATTAACAAGTAAACAATGTTACAATTTGCAAATTGCAAAATGCAATTTGCAAGCAAGCAATGCTACAATTTGCAAATTGCTTTCGCTTTCACTTATACGTAAACTTGCATTAGTTGGAGCAAATGCAACTGTTATCAGTTGTTGGATGCATCGTTTGATTTCAAAGTTAAGCAAAACAAATAGCAAAGTTGATGAATGCCAATGTCGAAAAGTAAGAAATGCGTGGGAATGAACAATAAATATTTAGAAATTAGCAATAAACGCAATAATTCAAAGCATTTAAATTGGAAATTTCTAAAAAAAGGTACTGTATATTTGTATTTTTCGAAGTGATCATCTCCATTTCACACTTTTATCAGCTGTTTTCTCTAATATACATTGCTTTCAGAGCTATTAGCAAACACTGATATAATAAAAGAATTTTGCTCTGTTATTTAAAGCTTAAGGCGGATAATATTTGACCATAGAACTGATTAAACAGTGATTAGAAATTTTTTTAAAAAAAAAATCATTTGAAAGATTTTTGGCAAATATGATTTACCATTTGTCTAATTTATCTTTTTTTGCAAAAAAGAAGAGGGATCCTCGATCTCTCGAGGAAACTTTATTTTGCAGTCAATTATCTCTCAATTGCCTCCTTTATATATCCCTTTTTTACTTGTTCTGGCTTTACTGATATAAACTTCTGATAAGAGGAGGAAATGGCTCTTCTCCATTCATATTCTTTCTAGCAAAAACAATATTTGCCTTCTCCAAGTGACTGTTTAAACCTTTCAACGAAATCATTCGTTCACGAATAAAAATAGTGACATGGTTGACGATGGCAAATTTTGAAGTTATTTGTTGAAATATTTTTTAAAAAAGTTTTGCAAAAGTATGTTTTGAAAATAGATGGTAATTAGATTTGCTCAAATATTTATGGCAGAAATTGAAGTTATTCACATGAGAATCGACCTAATTCAGCAGGAATTTGGAACTTACTGCAAGACTTAATTTGCAATTTTCTGGAATTGAATTTTTTTCTCTCAAGCAATTGGTTTCCAAAAATGCGTTTCCTGGTTTCCTTTTTGGTTTCCAAACTGAAAAATAGAATGACGATAACTGAACACTAACTTTCAATTTCTAATTAAAGACGAATTCAAAAATAGCAATTCAAATTATAGAGAGGAAAGCTTAAGACACTGATATAAGGCTCTCATCATTATTTATAAGTGCTAAGATTAGTAATATTTAATATTTTAAGTTAGTCATATACTTTTTGGAAGGAAAGAATGTAATTTAAATAGAAATTTATTTTAGCCGAGTGGAAATTTATGTTTAGCTAAAATATCAAAAGTATAAGCGAACATCTGATAAAGGGATGAAAATCTATTAGAATGATAAGAGATACATTGGATAAAACATTCATAATCGTTTAAACTAGAGATGGAATGATATGGCCTAGTCTGGCTTCTTTTTTAAAGGAGATTATTGTGTCCAATAATATGTCACTACCAATGCTAATTATAATGATTTATTTAAAAAACAAACATCTTTTATCCATTTTCTCTTCTTTTTGAATTATTCCTTTAGCCATTTTAATTCTAGATAAAGGAAATATTAATTGTTTTCTTAACTTTGTCCTGTTGAAAATAGAAATGAAAAAACATCATCCCATATGAAGTGCATTTTGCTGCAAAACTTACAGCTCACAATCGATTTGCTGGAAACGGTTCTTTGATTCTTCAACACAAAGTTTGAACATATAGAAATATAAATTTCAAGCCTATTCATTAAACTAGGCCTAATTAACTTAAACAAGATTTGAATTCATCTTAACATAAATTTAAACCGGCATGATTGGAGGAATAAGAAATAAAAACATTTGAAAGTGTGACACTGAGAAAATTTCTTTGCGTAGAAATTAATGCTGAACATTGTATGTCTTAAAATATTTTTCAAAAGTTTGTTTTTAATTTTTCCTGAAAATTTTTATATCTCCAATGCAAGAAAAAAATAAGAAATAAGAAACAAAATCATTAAGAAAAGGGTTTTAATGCTTGACAATCTAAATGATCCTAAAAATTTTCATTCAATAGATGGAAGGAAAAGTCTTACTAATGTTGACTTGTGAATATGAGAGTACTCGTTCTAAATGGATAAATCGATTGTAATACAAATAGAATTTAAATTATTGGAAAGAGATTATCAAGACAACTAATCGTTATAGGATTAGAATTTTGATAATTAATCAATTTGTTGAAGGGATCTTTTGAAGAGCTATCGATTTTATAAAAATAAAGATAAAAGAAACTTGAAGGACTACTGAATTCAACAGAAAAATAAAAGTTTGAACTGGAAGAGAATGATTAACAATAAGAGATTGATCAGTGTTTATAACAGTGATCCTTTTGATTAAGACCGACAAACTGATAAATCCCATTTTAAGTTTTACTTTATAAACAAAGACAATTTGTATTATTAGCATCCGATTACCTGCCAAAACCCCAACTAAAAATACTACATTCTTTTTACAAAGAGTGCCCTATTATTATTCATCAATGATATTAACCTTAACTAACTTTGTTAAGGAATAGAAGGAGAGTGAAGAACAGTAGAAATGACCAGTCATTAGCAAAATGTCTTCGTTTTAAATTTCATTAAATAATTGAATCTGTTACAGTTCCAATGTTTCCGTAAGTTGTTTTTGCTCAAAAAGATTAATGTTGTTAGATGCGCATTTGGAATCTTAATAATGTCCGTAGCAATTAATTAAGAACATTTAGAGTAAGTGACTCAGCAGCACAATACCGCCTCCACGAACATTTCTAAGCTAACAGCCTCATTAAACATCATTCATTCATTCATTTGTTAGAAAATCAAGAGAAGAATAATTGTGAAGAGGATGTCAGATGTTGTCGGCTCTTTTGATGAATGCGGAAAAGTAATGCGGTACCTATCGGAATATCAGTGGAGAAGGCATCAATCGATGATCATCGGCAAAGCAAAAATTCGTTATTTCAAACCAAAGTTTTTAAACTCCTATTCACATCTCCCCCGTTCAAATGTTATTTGCGCATGTATGTGTGTGTGTGTGTGTGTGTGTGTGTGTGTCTGTGTGTGTGTGTCTGTGTATTTACATGCATGTGCACTTGAGTTAAAGTAAAACCTGGGGATACTGGTCTCCAGAATATCGCGATTCGGTAAATTAACAAATTAAGATAAAAGGCATTTTTTTTCGGCCAAGTAAAAGATTTTATAAGTTTATTGATAACACGTAAAAGTACTGAGCCAAGGTACTTCTACAGCTTTCTCTTGCAGAAATAAAAAGAGCCTAATAAATTTCAAAGATTTGAAGGTCTAAAAGATTGTTGAGAAACTGGATCCATCCAGTCATCTTTCAGGATGATAAATGATATCCATGTGCTATCAAGCAGGAAGGATAGATGAGAGAGAGAGATTGATAGAGAGTGAGAGGTAGATAGATAGACAGAGAGAGAGAGGGGGAGAGATAGAGAGAGGGATAGACTTGCCCTCACTACTGAACGTCCGGTATGCCTTGTAGGAGGTGACGTTTATTCATTATGATTTTTTTTCCTTCATTTTCCTCTTTTTGGCTCGTTTATTAGAATGAGCCAGAAATTACATTTCGTCTCAATAAGTCAAATTACATTTCTATTTGTTGATCCTTGGGTACCGGGCATTTTTGAGCCGTTCAAAAGGTAGTCTTCTATCTGGACGGAGTCATCGATAGCAAGTGCCTTGAAGCTTTGGGCAATTCAAACAATGATTATCGGCCAAGAAATATTGTCCTCTGAAGGACGCAACACTCAAAATAATTTGACAACTTTATTCTCACTATATCCATCATTAAATACAAAAAATGCTGATATGAATGCATTGAATTCATTTTTATAGAAAAGTGACAGTGAAAGCGAATTTATGTCGTAACATAGACTCGAAAGTAGGCCTGAAAAGACTCGAAATTAGGCCTACAAAAAATCGAAAGTAAGCCTAGGAGAATTTTCCGCACAACCCATGCTATTTAATGCTATAACCTCTTCTTTCTGGCTTAGAGGTCAGCTTCAAACAATGACAAGGACAAATTATTGATCATTGGTCATAAGGAGTAATTATGAATCATTGCATTTGATGAGATATTTCATTGATTTTGCAACTAATCAGAACTAATTACACCTATCCAGTCCACTACCTTAAATTTCTTTCCAACCTCAAACCATTTCTTTTAATTATTTTTTGTCAAATCCAAATCGTTGCATGAATAAAACGTTCTAATACAATCACTTTAATAAATGAATAAAGGTGATGGCAAACAGTAAATGAGCCCATCCATTTCAATTCCGCCATGGTATATAGAATAATATACCGTGGAAAAGAATCAATTGGAATAGACTGAAACCGGAAATATAGGAATCCGATCGGTTTGATTCATTGTATTTTCATGTATAACGTATGAAAATTCATTCAACGATTTATTTTAAGCACTAATTAATAACGTGTAAAAAAGCGATGTAATTTTAATTAAAATAAATTGATTGATAATTTTAATCAAAATAAATTAATTGATAGTTGAGACCATTAAAAGTTTTGTTTATTTTTATCACTTTTAAATAATTAGCATAAAATATGCCAAAGTTCTCCACGGGCTTTTCTCGTTCTGTTATCTTTTCCAGATAGATTTCAATTTACCAATCAATAGAAGTAAAACACAAAATACGCAGACTTTTTCTTTTTTTTTTGAATTTCCATAAAAATTTATATCCGAAATAAAAATTGAATTGAAAAGTGGTAGAAAGTGAATGGAAACTGCAAAAAAAGAATGCATAATTTATTGTTAGAAATAGCGAAATGATAAAAATGAAGAAGTTTGTGTATTTTAGGGTAATAAACAAACTATTCCAGTACAGTTACTGGATGGATGCAGCTATACAAAAGTAAGATTTATTTCGTAATGTTTTCAGTAGTTCCAGATGTCTATTTTGATAAATAAGGAATCAAGCTCGTATAAAATTGTTTCTGTTAAAAGGTTTCAAAAATATAAAAGCTACCGGTTAAAATCATCAAAATATTTAAGCGAAAGGTCTACAAACTTCGAACAATTTTTATCAGATCTGCAGGACGTGTATGATAAGTCCTATACAGATGTGAGCAATAAAAATATATGCGAGTCTGTAATGCGTTTAAAAACAGTGATATATAAGATATGAACTCCCGCGATATACCGAGCTGGATTACATAGAACTCCCGCGATATACCGAACTGGATTACATAATAAAGCCTAGCTACATTCGTATTTGAAAAATGATTTTCGTTTGTGAGTTTTTACAGGAATTGAATAAATTTGTAAGTGGAAATTTTTTTTTTCTTTTTTGGAAAAGAAAATAAATGCGATTAGATTTTAGTGAAAGGATTATCTATGGATCGAAGATAAGATAAGCAAATGAAGAAGAATAAACGAAAGTTGTTTTTACAATGAAAGTTGCCCACAATTTGTAATAGAAGAGGAGGAAGATTTTATGGTTAGAAAGGCGAAAAGCTGCATCTTAAAGCAAACAAAAGCTTGAGATGTGTCTAATTCTAAATCTGAATTTGATATGAGTGGAAAGGATTGTGAAGAGGGGTGAAGAAGCAGCTGCTCTGTTTCTCCGGTGCGAATATATTTCAGGCGTTCTGAAGTTGTTAAAAAAATTTTGTAATTTAAGATCACAAGATCCAGATTCTAAAGAGGTAATTAGCTTATCCTTCACTATAAATTTGAATTATTAGATTTTAAATTTAAACCAAATTAAATCGTTTTAGCAAAAGTGTAACTTAAGCTGTGTCAGACTTTTTTCTTTTAATTTAAAGTTAAAATTAGTTAATAAACTGAGAGGCTAGGATTAATTGTTATCAAATGGTTTTAATATGCAAAAGTAAATGGGGTCTAATTCAAAAGGACCTGTGCGAGTATTTGTACGATCGTACGAATATACGAACATTAAATCGTACTGATAGTTTACTAAATTAGGGATGAAACTATCAGTGATCATGCAGGGAATAGAAACGATAACTAGAAAGTTTGAACTTTTTAATTAAGGAAGGAAGAAGTCAGATGGGATTCATTTTTCCTCACTCACATTATCGTCATTTCATGCTTCATTATTCACTAACTCTTCGTTATGCCAAATTTCGAAACGAAATCTGTGATTTTCTTTAAATTTCAAATAAACGAAACTTTTTAAAAAACATATTGTTGCATCAAACAAAGTTATCCTTTCTATAAAACTAATTTTCTCATTTCTTCATCTCTTCATATTCCTTGAAAAATTTCTCACAGTACCAATAAGGATAGATTAAATGAAATGAGCAATTTTATGAAAATCTGGACAAGATTAATTAAGTGGGAAAGTACTCCAACAAAATTATAATTTGGAATTGAATTTTATCAGACCAGAAATAAACACGAAATAATCAGTTCTGAATAATATTACTTTGCCAAGGTAAAATCGTTGCAGTTTATGCCGAGTATTGAATCTTGTTGAAAGATTAATTTATACCAGAACATAATGTCCCCTTCACTGTCTCACAAAATTTTTTTAACAAAAAATTTCAAACTCAATTCAATAATGGATGCACCAGTCATGGGTTCGAATTTTTCTTCTCCGGTTTAAAAGTATTTTAGTATAGATTATTTTGACCTATCATTGTGCCGATGTTCAATGCAACGCTTTAAAATTGAGGACGTCCTTGAAAGTTTTCTATGTGATACAAGAACTGCTCAGCATTCAATTGCCATTTTCCTTTTCTTACCTTTCTAACGCAAAACTGCATTAAAATTTTAAATTTCTAGTTTCCCAAGAATTCAAAATAAAATAAGAGATGATAGTTGAGATACAAAATATTTTAATTTTTCCAAATTATTTTGATGAGATCAGTTATAAATCTTTCTATTTAAGCCATCAACTGTATTTTTCTCTAAAAATTTTTTCATTAATATACTCGAAATCTAAGAATACATCGCATTTTTTGATAGAACTAAGTGTTAAATGGTTTTCAAAACATTTCAACGACGATAAAATGAAATTTGGAAAGTTTTTCTTATAAAGAAATCATTATATCTCATACCAAACTATTTCTGTGATAACTAGAAGTGATATTTATGATTAGGATCAGTAGTGAATATGTATTTGGAAGACACTGAATGCTTGTTTGAGAAATATTTCTTCTAATTCGAAGGAGCGGAAATCAGCAGTAAATTAAAAATGACTTCTCTAAAAAAAACTATTCTTCTGTGAGCCATATCCTCATGAAAGTGGGAAAATTTTTGTCAAAAATACCTTTGATTACGTAAATATTTTGAAACATTTCAGAATACTGACAAATAATGGCATATTTCTTAACGCCTGAAGAAGTATCACCGATTGAAGCAATCATCCGGAATCGTATTAATTTTTGCTTCCGATTCTTAGTTGCTTTATTTTTCAATTACCAGACATTCGACTTCATGTTCAGTCCAGTTTGGATCCATGGATACATTTGGTATATTTCATTAATGAACTTTCAAAATTTTAGTTTTCTTTAGTCGCTTCTCACTTTTGCTTTATTCTAAGTTCATAATAATTTCGTGCATTTCATAAAATTCTGCATTTGCTTTACAAAATACATTTTTAAAATTCAACTAAATCCAAAGCAAAAATTAGATTTCCAAAATTTGGCACATATGTTTGCTTACAACAACAAAATTTTTGAGACATATTAAAGAACATAAAAAGATTTGAGATGCGAAAGTTTTGGCTGAGTTTATCATTTAATACATTGAAAGTTTTAAATTAAATTTCCATGTTTTTAATTCTTCAACATATGAGTTGAAGAATTAAAAACATGAAGATTTAATTTAAAATTAAAATTTAATTTAAAATTTAATTTTAAAATTTAATTTAAAATTAGATTTTTTTGATTCTTCAACTCATGTAGAATAAATATGGTTTTTTCCACTGTTCAAGGTAGTTGTTTGAGTAATATCGATGAAATGCTTTCAAGTTTTCAATGAAAATTAGAATTCCTAAAACGGTGAATTAACTGTACCTGTCGGAATAATATTGACATATATTTTAGAATTTAAACATTTAATGGGAAAATCTTGAACTTATTTTAAACCATTTAAATTATGGGACAAATTGCCAAAGCCGATCAAAGCAGCCATTCTGAAATGGTTTTTTTTTTTGATTTTGTAAAATTTGGGATAAGATGAAGCCCATTTCTAGTAACTCAGTCAATTTATTGGTTATAATTGTGAAGGGAAAAGAATTTCAGGTCATTGAATCAAAAAGTTGATCTTGAACTGAGCACCAAATCAGCTGGTGACATCTTTCAACACCAATTATCAATTTGCGGCTATTCCGAGCGTATCATTTACTCCACTCTCCTTGTTTTCATTATATGGATCTTCTTACTGTAAGCTTATCAAAAAAAAAAAGAAGTGTGTTAAATGTCATATACATAAAGAGAAAGACGGAATCAATTTTGCGTGAGTATAGAAAAAATTCTTAAAATTCATTTTAGAATTTCTGGTTTTCGAAATAATCGAACAGTCTGGCGACTTCTGCGCCTTTCAATAATGATCGGAGTACTCACTGCTATTTTGCGTTGCTTACAAATGAAACAACGCCTCTACTCGGCTATACATGAGGGATTTTACGCATATTTCCTTATATTCTCTACAGGTTACAGAGTTCAAATTAAAACGAAATCTTACAAACTGAGATTAAAATTCTCTCAAATGGAATTACCCGAAGGAATGTTTGCAATAAATAATCAAATGTAAACTTTTTTATAGGATTGATACTAACATTACAAGTGAACGAAAGGATAACTGTTTCAAGTATGGAATTGAAATCGGATGAAGTGCCTTTGATCATAAAACCTAATGTGGCGATGTTTACGCCAAAAAAATTATTATGATGAAGAGGGAAATGATTCGAATTTATTTCGAATTAACTATGCTAAATATGTCAAATATCATTTTATCAGTGTCTAATTCATGGGAAGTTCTTTCAGGTATTACTTCTTAATCGTCATTAGCGTTTGATAAGGCAAAATTGGCACCTTCTATTTTCATTTCAATATAAATTTCAAAGATGTGCAAATACCAGAAATTCAGTTTATATATTCTTTCTGAAAAGTAAAGCAAAAGCGCATGTTGCAATCATTATTTCCGCTTTTTATTCACAAATTTCAACCGTTAAATTCCAAGCAATGGGATTTTAAATTTGCACACTCTTTCGGAACACTGCAGAACAGTATATTTAACAGTGTTAATGTCGAGAGAAGAAGCTGCTGTGTGACCACGTATGCATGTCCACTTACAGTACTGCAATCAAATTACACTTCCTACAAGCGTACACTCTTTATGACAAAAGTACATCTTTCAGAATGTAGTGAAGAGGACAAGCATGATATTAGTAGTACCTATACATAATGAAACATTCACAACCACACAGATTGGCTTCACTTTCAATCATGCAGTGTACGATTTGATCACTGTTAATAATGTTCATACTGATCATTCATCCAATTAAAATAATTAATTAAAAATCAACTTCCTTTTTAAAAATCATAGTGAGCCGTTGAAAAATATATAAAATTTGAAAAATTTGTGGAACATTTTCGAAACCGTACAATTTATATTCATCCTTAATCGCACATTACTGTCAAACTTCTACCAGTGTGTTGCTAAGTGACCTGTTGCAATCACTCATAGAGGACTGGTTAGGCCTATTTCATTGAATGAAAATACGGTAAACAAACATAGTTTAATATGTCACATTCAAATCAATGCTAAAGTTGAAAATCGATGAAAAACAAAAAACAAAAAATTGATATCATTTGTGTGACGATTGTCTGTTGAGAAGTATACGAATAGTGTGGATTTTAATCATTATTGAATTCATACTGAATTAATTATTTTTTCAAACGTTGCTTCAAATCTCGTTGAAATTTTAGACGCATTCTCATAGAATTTAAAATAGTTAAAATTAATTGTCAGAAAAGAACGAAAAACTGAATTTTAAAAAAGAAAATAAAATAATCCAGTGACAAACGTCAACTTATCTATCCTTTTTTTTCACATCATTTGAAGGTCACACTACAATTTCGATGATGAAATGTCTCTCCTTTTTACTTTCTGATGGCTATTAAATGACCTATTATTTTATTATGCCTTGTCCACTTTTTCGTTTGGTTATTGTTGACCTCAAGGAAGAGAAATAAATTACGATAATGAAGTTCCAACAGCTAACAATAAATAAAAACTACTCAGAGAATACTGGATGCTACTAACCACCGTTTTCTACCCTTTACCTAAGTATCTCTCGGTTCCTATGCTTTTAGTCTTCGTTGTCTGATTAGTTTACTTGTACACGTTCCGCTATCCGAGGTTGAGAAGCAGATGGATTCACGAGGATAATCGAGTCAACATTCTGACAAACGCAGATTCCCGGTTCTCCTGAAATCAGATTAGAGGATATGAAGAAAAAGATCGAGGAAACAAGAATCGATTAGGATGTGAACTAACATATCGTGATCGACAGGTTAGAAATCTATAAAACAAGATAGTAATTCTAATTAGATGATTATTGCTTGAGTAATAATGAAGCATTTAAATTTATGCTATAGTTCCTTACAATCCATTTAAAATTTGATTTTCTTTCAATTTAAACAAGTTTACCTGGAGGTCCTTGTTCACCTGATGGACCTTCTGGACCAGGGTATCCGGGTTCACCTGGCTCACCTGGCAGACCTGGCCATCCGCGTTCTCCTTGTGGCCCTAAAATTAACATTTTTTAATTCGTTTTAGCTATAATTTAGATATTGGAAGAGCCTTTTATAAGGAAAAAATAAACTACTACCTGTCATCCCATTTCGACCAGGTAGTCCTGGCAGACCAGGAGGACCAATGGGTCCAATTGGTCCCGGATCCCCAGGTGGGCCTTCTCTAAGTTCAGCTTCTGGTGTTGGGCCTTTATCACCTGGCACACCAGGTCCTCCTTGAAAACCTGGCGGACCTTGCGGCCCTGGTTCACCCGGTTCACCGTCTTCGCCATCTTTACCTGAAAATATTTGAAAGTAGAGTTCACACATATTTTAGGAAAAACATAGTCGGTAAATCAGAATTATAGCTTACCCTTTGCTCCAGGTTCACCAACTGGACCCGGATCTCCAGGAAATCCAGGCCATCCCTTGATACCCGGAGGACCTTTTGGGCACGGACGACATGGCGGAGGCGGTCGATTTGTCTGTATTGGGCATGTTTGGTTTGGAGTTGCTCCAGGAATGCCAGGTTTACCTGCTGGTCCTGGAGATCCGGGCCTGCCAGGTGCGCCCCCTGCACCACGCGGTCCTGGCGGACCTGGAATACAGCAACCTGGACATTCTGTTTCGATCGGTGTGCCGGTTACTTCATCCAACATGGAATTTCTGTGGAATGGATTTAAGGTCTATAAAGAAAAAGAATAGTTCATATTATAATAATTGGCAAACATATAAACCCAAAAGGATTGTCAGTACAGGTACATTCGTTTAAGGACCATTGAATCCGGATGGATGGCAAAAATAACCTGAAAGTCATCGCTCTGATCATAAGTTTGACGCTTTGTCCTGTTTGAAGTAATATAAGATTTCCCTCGTTCTACTTGCAACAGCGCTTCTTCGTTTGAATGCTGCAATCCAGGATAAGTATTCATAGAAAACTTTTAAAATCAATTGCGAACAATCCATATAACTTTAGTTCTTAAAATTTATCGATCAAATTTACAATCAATTCATTTAGTTTTTTTTTTTTTTCGTGAAATTTAGAAAGCAGTTTACCTCACAGAATTGTATTCCATTATCGACATAATCAATCGTTGTTTGAACATTATTATACATAACAGGTAGAGCAATGCACAATATCAATAATGATACGAAACTACAGGCAATTTGTAGACCGGTAACGAAGTGATACATGCGCTGTCGCATAGTCAGTGCTGACTGGGAGGATTGTCCCATGCTGAAAAATCTTTCTTGTCATTTATGAAAAATGTTTAATATTTATTCAGAAGTAACCACCCTTCAACTGTTTTGCTAACCTTTGACCTTGCCTTTATGACTGAAGAACTAAATAATATTTTCTATCAAAATTAAGGCATTATTGTTTCTATATGATGAACAGAACTGTTCCATCAAACAATAAACCTTTCTGTACTTTCATCCTGCTTCATATCGCTTAAACAAATTCAACCAGTCGCTCCTTGTTTTATCTTTGCCTCACTTTGTTTTAATAAAGAATTGTAAACTGATTTTATGAAGGCGTGAACGATGGCCTAAAAAGTTGGACCAAGTTTTAGAAAATTAATCATATTAAAATGGAAAAAGTGACAGAAAACAAATATGGGAAATCAAAGAGTTTTTTAGAAAGTGAAATCAGTTCCAGTTTTGCTACATTTTCCACATCATGCCATAAATAGAAAGAATTTTCAGCCTTGCAATATACACTATCAACTGGCCCTAGTACTCTAAATTGTGTCATTTGTCATTAAATGATAGTGGACAAAACCAAAGAAGTATGATTGAATGTAGCTAAGAGAGTCAAATATTTAAAGCGACAGTATTTGGCTCAATTCATGTGAGCTAGCCTCGGAATCGCTAAATGCAAAAAAGAAGTGAATTGTGAAATTATCGTGAATTAATGGATGGACCTGTTCGAAAGATGCCAAGTCGTCGCGCACAGACTTCTCCGGATATTCCAATCAATTCAACCTGTTTTATTCCTGATTTCTTCGTGCCTTCTATGCTAAATTTGTTTTCTTAGCGCTGTGTAGTTCGTTTTCTGATTCTCTAAATTGTTTTTTTAATTAAAAATCTCCTTTTGCAAGAATAAAAAATAAAAAAGGCGGTAAAAGTAGTTTGGGGTTGAAAATATTAAAGCTAAGTTAAATTATTATGGATTATTATCTTTTGATGGTTGCTAAAGTTTTCTTTCATATTTGACTTGTTTTACACTGCTTTTCTTTGGACGGAATTTCCTCGTTTTTTTTTTTATGCCATAGCAAGTTAACTTTTTTATTGCTTATAGCATTGAACTTTGACCTATCGTGCTGCAAATCGTTGTAAACTTATGATTATGAAATCCTGCACCCAGCTTCTTTGGATAAAATTGATGTAATTTGAATCCAACTCAGAAATTAACTGGACAAATTCAATACACGGCAGCATGACCGTACAAGAAGTTTGGGTGATAAAGTGATAACAAGGAGATAGTCCAATTAGATGATTCATATTTCAACCTATTCAGCATATTTGATCATATGTTAGTACTTTTTAATTCATTTGAACAAAATCATTGATTTCAAGTACAATTTCGAGACAAGCTAATCTTGGACAGCAATGATGTACGATAGAAATTAATAATAATCACAGTGTAAGGTAATTTCAGAAATCGGATGAAAAGCATAAACTGAAGCAAAAGGCGAAAAATTACCTGCGCCGAAATGCAGTTCGATCTTTTGGCGGAATTAAGTGCAAATTTCACAATTGCGGTGAATGTGAACTACCAGAGGACGGTGTGAGGGTTTTAGTACTGCTGTGGTGATGGAATCCTTGAACAGTATCAGTTCCTGATTTATCGATATGTTCTGATGTTGCCACCGTTACCACTGCTGCTGTTGTTGGTGACAATGGTCGCCTTATACCGTCAACAGCTAGTGACACTCGGTGTTAACAGTACGACGACCTAGATTATCATTCCTGTGCTAGGTCAACCCAAATCAATTTCCTTTTGTCCTTATTAATTCTCTTTTATCACTTTTCTATGTGTACAGTTTGCAATTGTTAAATTAAGTTAAGCATAAGTTGCAAAATAAAAGTCTAGAATTTCAAAATAAAAAAAATGGAAAGGCTAACAAGGAGAATCGAAACAAGTCACTAAAACTGAAACATAAATGAGAAATTTGAACCAGAGGTTAACAACCAATCGATCGATTTATAGCGGAGAGATAAGCAAATAATTTGAACTGTTAAAAAAGATCCAACAAACTGTCATGCAACATGGCGAGATTGTTTCATTGAAAACAGTACATACAGTATCCGTATATCGGTATATGGTCCACCGTATCCGTATATGATCCACCAAACAAGGCTATCTGTCCCGTTCCTTATTTCTCTTTAAAAAATATCAGCATATGGCCCTTTAAAATTTATTCTCTTCTGATTAATTTCAAATCAAATAATTCATGAAAAGTCATCCTGCAATAGGACTTTATAAAGTGCATTGAATCATTAAAGTAGAGTTCATTCATCAGGGAAAGTTAAAAAAGTTCAATCTTCCAGTACACCATTAAAGCAGTAAGGAAAATGTTGCAGAAACTGGTATGCTTTGCATTTGTCACAAATTCAAGAAGTATGTCATATAAACTCTTACTTTATAAATTTAAATCTGTTTTGGATTGATAAGAAGCATCAATGGAAAACAGTTTATGCAAAATTCCATATAGAATTTTGAAATCTCCAGAAATTTGACTTGATAAACTTTCTATCAAATTCTGAAAGTTTGTAAATTAAAAATATCCGGAAAATTGGACACAAAACGTTAAAGTTTACAATACAAAACGATGTTTCGTTGAAATTTAAATTATGATGTCAGTTTTAATGCAACATGAATTATCTTTGCATCGTCTTGCTAAAAGAGATGTGTCCATAAAAAACCTGCTACAGATTAAGCATTTTATCAATGACAATCAAAATAAGTTCAACAGAATCTCACAATTGAAAATCAAATGAACTATGATTACTAAAAGTCCTGAAATTCGATCTCGAACTTTTAAGATTTCATGATAATTCGATATTGAAGATAATTGATGCATCGAAATAAAAATATTTTAATATTGGCTCAGATATTCGATATGAAATGTGATAAAGCAATTATCAGTATGAGAACAAATCCGATAGGATGATAGTGGAGATGATAACAAACATGAATTTCCTAACCTAATGGAAAAAAGAAATATTTTGCTGAAAAACTGAGTTCAATAAGTAATATTGTTAATATGTACAGTAAAATTTAATGTTTTCTGTAAAGATGCTTCTGTGTGATAAAATGTCATTTTAGACAATTCATAGAATTCTGAATAGAGAGTTTCTGGAGCATATCAAGCAGATAGATGTAATCAGTAAAGAACTGAACACGGTAATTATGCACAAAGGTTGATGTTAGGTATGCGACAGGCATGTGACACGTCCTTCATTCTTGCATATGTTTGATTTGAACAATCGAACGAGAAGGGAGATGCAGCTTGAGTTTCAAATTTCTTAGCCATTTCCATCATTGGTTTTATCTCCATACTTTTTCCCCTATCCATCAATTATGTGTGACGCATGCAATTATGTGTGACGCGTTAAGTCTTATCAACTTTACACAATAAAAGAAATCGCCTTTTGTTTCATAAAGACATTAAATTGAAATTAAAATTTTTCGATATTGAAAAAAAGAGAAAAATTTCCGATATTAAATTGAAGCCGGAAATATGGCTCATTTACAACTTTAATTCATCGAGTTGATTTTTCCCCTCTCTCTCTTTCTTTCGCTTTTTTTCTTTTTCAACCTTGCATTCCAAAAATTTGATACGAAAAAGGATTTTTGAGCAATTTGATGAAAAATTGTAAATTGAACGATTTTAGAAGAAAAAATATTGAATAATAAGATTAATGGGAATGAACGGGAGATTTAGTGCAGTCGACATGAAAGATTATTAGTGGGTTAAATTCTTAAAACTAATTTAAGAATTTTTCTCCTGAAGATAAAGTTATCAATTTTTACCAGTAAATTTGAGTGTTTTTTTTTTCGTTTGAAACCGTTAAGAATTTCAGTCAGGTGATTCTTGCCAGAAGTTCCCAAAAAATTCTTAGAAATAATCTTTCTCATCACTAATTTATGCTTCTTCTCTGATTTCTTCAAAGTTCTTTACCTTTGAATGCAGAGTACGAGGATTCAGGATGCTAGCTGTCAATTAATTAACAACTTTAGATATGGCTATACGATCTACAGATCTTTTTAATAACGATGATTCCCAGTTTAATGTCTGTATCAGTTGGGTTATCAATCAAGCCAATCGGATTGCAGTGACCCTAACTATTTGAAACTCTTTTCAAAGTTCACGTTTTCAAAATGCATTAAAATTTATTAAAGAACAACTCTGAACAGACATGAAAACTTCAAATGATAAATCACAGTTTTACAATGTTTCATGAGAGGAGGTATGGGAAAACACGTCATCTATGTTAGTGTTCATGAAAGTAACCCACAGAGTAACCTACATAGGGTGCAATCCGAAGGTTTTTAGACCTTCAAAGTATCGGTGGTATCACCGTTGGAAGACTTACAGTTCCGATAAAGTAACGGTATTGTAGAACGCAGCAAATGATGATAAACTGGAGAAGCACTGGAGAGCAAAGGTCACTAAAACAAAATGTATGTTATGAAAAAGTGACGAAATAAATTAATTGACGTTTTCGAATAATGTGTAAATGAGCAAAGATAATTAGTATTAACGCGGTTGAAATTGAGGACAGACAAGTAATTGAGCTATACATGGCTATATTTTAAATTAAAAAATATTGACGGAAAGAAGATAATAAACGATAAAAGAGCCAAGTAAATTTTGTTAGGTAAGTTAAGAAAAATTCCCAATTTTTAAAGCATAAATTAGCTTGGAAGTAATTAAGAAAGGTGTTAACCTGCAAGCCCTCGGGGTCTAATTAAAATACAATAAAGTTATTAGGTCTAATTAAGTGTAACAAGAGCATGAGCTACCCGTGCATACTGCGAGCCTAACGTATGCATGGCAGTGGTCCTCAATGAAGACAATATTTGCTGATAACATTGCTGATAACCATGCTACTGATAACCAAGTGCTTGAGGGATCGCACTGCTGTCTAGCTTGTGTCTATTTGAGTTTCGTTCTTGTGATGTATCATATAATGCACTGATTGTCGCCCCTTGTATTTTTCTTTCACTTTTTTTCTCTGTCTCCTTGGCAGGCATTGAAAGTAAGTCCGGTTCTTCCATTTCTTGATATCCCACAATCTCTTTCAGTTTTATATCTTGCGAAATATCTTCATCATTCACTTCCTGTTTGCCTTTTGTTTTTTCTGTATCCGGTTGTCGACGGGACATGTCGGTTATGACTACTTCCGTATCCTGACAGACACATGTCCCAGGAGTTCCTGAATTTAAAGACTACATGATGTTTTCTATAGGCATCGCTGATTTTGGTAATACCAGAAGTGCTTTCATAATATTTTGGAATTTTTCTTCCCCCTGATATTTCATTTTAGTTTAAAAGTTCCAGTACTTCGAGAAAAGCGGAATTCAATGACTTCCGATATAAAACAAACCTGATGGTCCTTGCTCTCCCTTTGGTCCTGGTGCACCAGGCGGTCCGATTGCACCGGGAGGTCCTGGTGGCCCTGGCCAGCCTTTTTCACCTGGTGATCCAGTATAGCCATCTTCACCATTTGGTCCTGCAAATCATTGTGTATTACACAACTTAAAATCATCATTTTGAAACAAGGAATAAATAATATCAGTTCAACCAGTGATGACAAATTTCTGATCGAAATAGACAAACCTGGATGTCCGGGTGGCCCCCATGGCCCTGGATCACCGGGATCACCTGGAGGACCAGGAATAACATGCGCATGCGGAGTAAAACCTTTGTCACCGGGTGGTCCGGCAGGACCTTCTGGGCCAACTGGACCTGGTGGTCCATCTTCACCAGGCTTACCACGCAGTCCATCAGCACCTCAAAAAGAAATTTCGAAAAACAATACTCACTCGCTATACTGATTAATTTATATGAATTTACATTAATTTATATTTATATTCTATATTAATTCGTACAATTATTTTGAAATAAAAAGAATGGAATACAACTCCAAATGCCGTATGATTAAATTACCGGGTTTCCCGGGTATGCCAGGATCTCCTGGATCACCCGGAAATCCAGGATGTCCAGGTATACCACGTGGACCTTGCGGACATGGTAGACACGGCGGTGGTTCGAATATTCTTTCTGGAATACAAGAGGCATTCGGTGTGGCACCAGGCCTGCCAGGTGCACCATCTGGACCAGGACTTCCAGGCAGTCCTGGAAGACCGGCATCACCTGGTGCTCCTCGTTCACCAGGTATGCAGCATGCTAAAAACGAAGAAATCTAAACTTTCTTTTTATAATACTTTTACCAATCACCCCAACTACCTTGCCATAGTACAATTTTTCATCAATAAACAATTCAAAAATTAAAAGGTATGAGGATTTAAAGGAACTTTGCTTGCTCCTATCAATTGCATACATTTGAAGTTGGAATGAAACAAACATTTTTTAAAAAGTTTTTAAAGAGATGAATAGAAGTGATAAGAGACGGACCAGGACATTCTTGGAAGGTCATGTGTTCGGTGAAAAGCGTTGTTGGGTTGAAGCCATTGTAGTGTGACACATCTCGCCTTGTTCGATTTGGATTCATTCTTTGCATTGTTGATAGTTCATCCTCCAGATCATGAGTCGCACTCTCCAAAAATTAACTGTTTTCTCAAATTTTGTTCGAATTTTCTTAATATTTAACTTAATATCCTTCTTAAATATAATTCCTACGTTGAGGTTGTGATATTTTACAGTCGCCAGAAATATTAGTAGACAAAAGTCGTCGAACGCCTTATTTCAATCTTGAAACTGTCCCGCCTTCATTTATTTTCTCTTTTCAGACTATTTGATCTAACATCCTTCTTCTTGTAAGTGAAGTTAAGAAGTTTGGTGACATATTTTATTGAACTTTCCCATTTGGTACATTTAGAGGTGAACGGAATACTTTTTCATGTTTAAACACTGAAACCGCAGGTGTCAAACAACTAATGATTTTATGGAAGGAAATGCTTGCAACTTTTATGCAAAGTTGACAAAAGTGTTGCGAAAAATCGATTTAATGCAAATATTAAATCAATGATGATTGTTGCAAATCCCATTCTCGATTATCTTTTGATTAAAAATTATTTCCTGCTGCTCATTAGCCGTAAAATCCATTTTCAGTTTTTATTGTTACCAGACTTCAACAATCCTGAGATACAAAGAGGAAGGTGTCAATTAATTATTTATTGGGATCAACTTCAGGAAAGAATTCAGGCGTTCGTTTCAGATAAGCACTTCATATTTTTTTAAAATTTAAAAAAATAAACAAAGAAATGCTTGATTTCAAAATTGTATCAATGTGGATTTCAATGCTTCGATGATTTCACAACCTTGCTTTTCCCTTAAACTGAAAAAAAAAAATGCATACTTCGCAGAAGGCGAAATCCTGCCTGGTGAATGTCCCCATATTGTCAACAAAATTATAGGCGGATGGTGCTACAAGACATAGTGTCAGCAAGCTGGAAATACTTAGAGTACTCGCGACGGATATAATACATTTGAAAGCACGTTCACGACGAACTTCTAACGGACCATTTTCCATCATATTGCATTTGGTGGCACTTGAAGTGCGAGATAGACGTTCCGCATAGATGATGCCACTTGTTGGTTTCATCTCCCTCCGTAGGGAGTTTGCAGTTGAACAGTCCTGATTCTAAAATTTAAATTCTAAACTATTTTCTCCCTACAGTAATTTCGAGAGCATATCAGCAACACTTTAAATCTAATTGAAGGCATTGTATTAACTGTCAATTCTGTCATTTAATAAAATCCAGTTCAAGAACTTGGAAATCACTTGGAAAATAATTTTTACATAAATTAAATGACAAACTATTAAGAGTTCGAATGTTGAAAATAGACAGCTAGTGATTAGAAAATTTTATCAATATATTGAATTGTTTCTTGTATTACTCACACATAAATATATATTCTTCTAAAAGGATATCACATAAAATAGTTTTGGAGGAAAAGAAATTGCAACAGGAAATTTTTTAAAAGGATGGAATCACCAGTTTTTTGATTTGGAAATTTGAATGTAAACTAATTTTAATAAGAAAATTTTATTTTACATCAATTTTGACTCTTGTTTTAGCAACAGTATTTGCAGAGGAACTGAGAGACTGAAAAAAAAGGAAAATCAGATTTATGAGGACATTGGAAAAGGTAATGCTGCAAGAGAAATTTACTTCAGCCAGATAAAGCATGAAATGCAAATTGCTCTTAGTATCGTATATGGCTGCAGTTATCTATTTCACTGTCTTGGCTTTCAACAAATGATGGTCACACTATGCTAACGATGGGTGCTAATCGGATAAGGCTTAGAATATCTTCTCCAATTCGGAATTTTTTCTTTTCTAGAATTGCAACACATATCAAAAAATAGATAAAAACTCCCATTCTTTGATAATCTAAGAAGATTGATTAATTTTGCTGATTGTAAATTCTTGAATGATTTCACAACTTCTTATCACCTTGTAATGCTACTAATGGATAGCTTACTGATAATTATCAGGAAGTTTGAAATTCAATCAATAATTTCGGTAGGCCTACAAAGTAACCAGTTAGGGTGGAGAAGAAAATTCTTTATCAGAAATTATATACATGCGAATTATGCAGGACATAATGGATAGACTCTCTTTATGGATAAACTCTTTGGACAGACTCTTTTTTCACGAAATCCGACTTAAATAGCTCTGATACGGAAATTATACAAAGGAAGCGTAGCAAGATATATTTCCGGAAGTTTTTGGCAAATGAAAACGATCCTGTTTATCTATGTGAAAAGAAGCAAAAATCCGTTTATGTTCTATTTGAATCTAATTAGTAAGTGACGGTAACATATAGGTAAGACGAACTAACCGTTGTTCAGAAGCTAAGACTATCCCTCTTTAGCTTGAACTTTAAGAGCTGCTAATTTATTAGGGTCAAATAAGCAATGAAAAGGCAAAAAATTAGATGTGACAGGTTTGAAATAGGAAACTGAAATTGCGGAATAAGGATTCCCAAAAGAAGGAGTAGGATGGTGAAGAACAGCCTAAAAGGAAGATAGATGGATGCAGGATGGATGAATGGATAAGGCGTTACGATTTCCCTTGCCCTCGCATCTTTCTTCCCCGTAGCAATTGCGCTGATGACCTATAAAGCGGCAGAAGTATGACAGTAATGTATCGTTATCCAATTCGGGTGTTATCTTATTCAAACTTATTGGTCAGTCCTCTTCCTAAACTAAATCAAAGGGCCGATGAACTGTATTTGCACAAGTAGCGACCCCTAAACAAAGTCATCTGTCCCATCACATGACAGCATCAAAAACTACTCCAATTTCATTTCCCTCCCCCTCCCTCCATTTGTTTTCAACCAATGATACATTTCGGAAAAAGTCGTTAGCTAAGCCATATCGATGTGATACATTTAAAGTAGTAAATGATTCATTAATCTATGCTAACTGAAGTATTCTTCAAGATATTTAATTTCGAATTGATCGATTAAAATTTCAAAAGAATTCAACTTAACATCCAGACATTTCTTGCAAAAAAATTTATGGAATTGAAATTAAAATGCAATTTTGCTCAACATTTCCTTTCTATCCTTCGACAAATGTGGTATTTTTAATTCTCAAAAAACATTAACAATTGGATAGACATGGCGGGATGAACTTTAATTTTAATTAATATAACGGAGCGATCAAAAGATACCTTCTCTCTTCCTTATGTGGGAATGTATAGATGAAGAAAGGTGATAATAATGTGGCAATGGTCAGTCCAGCTGACCTTTATTTTGAACTGAACTATGTGATCACCGATACTGATTGAGCCCATTGTACGATGACTTCTTCTTTCTCAGTTCATGCGACAATGCAGAAGAGCTCAGATGTACATATCATTAGAAGAGAAGATTGGTTCAGATAATAAGATTTCATTTTTAAGATTTCATTGTCTTACAATGAGAATAAAGTAATCTTGCTTATTACCTAATTAAAGTTACTGCTTCTTTTAAATAATTTTAATTAATTTGTAAAAGTGTTTTTGATGCGAAATTGAAATTATTTATGAATTGTAGTAATTAGGAGGATTTGGAACGTTGGAGAATTTCGATGTATTTAAAATGTGGCAGCTTCATAAAAACAGAAAGAAGTAAGTTGAATTATAAAAAGAACTTCACTAAATTCACAGAATACTTCTTTATCTCAAAATGATTGCTGATTACTGCATAGCTTCTTCATCATATTTTATTTAATGATTTAATACTGATTTAATAATTTTAGTAACAAGCTGATTTAATTAAATTTGACATAACAATTTTGTAAATTGAATGATCAACTTAAAATATGAAAAATTTTTCCCGAATTCGGTAAAAATCACCACTTCTTTTTAATTCGATTTTTAATAAAATTGCTTAAATGCTGAGCTGTTTCCTTTGTTGTTGATATGTGTAACGATGACGAGTTCCGCTGCACACAATACTTTTCATTTGATGACATTTTCGATTGTCTGTCAACCTGTTTTTAATAATGATATATTCAATGATTGTTGACTACTTTGCTGCTCTTTTAAAATATTTTAGCACCCATCTTACTTGTCATTATTCATGTGCTTACTTTTCCTTAGTAGCTTTTTTTATGCTGATGACATTTAAGGAATTAATTATTCAAATGTGAGTAATTTAATTGCATAAAATATAATATGCCGAATGGCTACTAACACGGATTATTCATCATAAAATTTCTCATAAAATATTCATCTTTTAGCAAAACCATTCTGTAGAAAATTCATTTGAGATACAACACCACTTAGATAAATATGCTGTAAAATGATTTTTTGCGTCATAATACGGTCCATAAAACAGTCCGGGATAAATTTACTCAATCATTTGCAGACTTCTCAATGCAAATGCAAGTATTTGTACCATGCTGTTTGAATTGTAAACCTATAATACTGGAATGACTTTTTAATTGAATAATTTTCGTGACTGTTTCTGCCATTATTTGTACTATTAGCTATTCGTTTGCACGTGCATACCTTATATATAATTGACTTTTATCTGATTCAGATTCTGGCAATGACATCATCATCTCTAGCAGTTCCCAGTGTGACAGGTCCTTTTTCGGTTGAAAATTTGCCCTATCATGTTGATATACTTTTGAGTGAAAAAATTTACAATCCTGGTGATATGATTCATGGTGAAGTGATCTTTAGACTTAGCAATAATCTATCTTATCATCTAATCAATGTGCAGCTTTTCGGTATCATTCGAGTTTTTTGGATTGATAAAAAGGCAGGTTTTTATATCAGTAATATTTAATTTGTCTCAAGTTTATACGATTGGAATGGTGTCTACTTCAGCGTGTTTTGTCGCTGTATTTATTTGCTAAGTTTCATCTCTCACTCTTTTGTTTATTCACTAATCTAATTAATTGCCGCTGTCATAATTTATTGATTTCCCGCTTTATTAGTTTTGAAATTGAATATGCAGATAGGGAATGGCTGTTTCTGTCTCATGGCACGAGAACAAAAAAGGGTTTTGTTAGACGAAACAATAGTGTTATGGTCCGAAGAAAAAACAAATCACAAAAAACCTATTCCATCATATGTTAGTTTCATTTAATCTAAAAGAAGTTTTTTTTTACTAAAATCTCAATTTCTTTAAATTTATGGAAATTTATATAAGAATGACGCATATAGTAATATAAAATCTGAATTGAAATGTAAGAAATGCTTGAATTGCATAGTGCTTGTCAATCGGACATCTGAATCATCAACATCATCATCAAGGCTAGGCTTCATGAACGAAGATTCGAGAAGGGCTCTAGCCACACTTGTTGCAAACGTTCTATGCATTCTTTCAATTTGTGTAGTGGATTTTTTAGGTGAAGCTCAGCGTATGCAGAACTGGACTACCTTTTATTCATAAGGATCATTTGCCAGGGCCTAGCGGGTTAGGACGGTGACAACGAAGTCCTTAGGATGTTTGTTTTGTTACAACATCTTTCTATTGGATGGATGACATTACATGGCTAAGTTAGCCCCATTTTCGCGCGTTCGCAGTTAAAGTTGTCCGTCTCCTAGGATAGTTACTGGGTATCTAGGAGCCCATCCTGTTCGTGGAACACTTTTTTTGACCTTCAGTTGAGATCTGTCTGGCGTGGGAGCCATACTGATAGAAATTGCTGGAATATTTGAACACTCTCTCAGTAAATGACCAAATATGCTAGTATCAATGTGTTATACTGGGCCTATTTCATATATTTTAGATTTCTTGCTTTGAAAGTTTACAACACATACTTTAAAATTCATGCACAAAAGCAGCATTTTGCGAGTTGCAGCCTAATGACATTTTACGACTGTCAACAGTAACTGCAATACGAACCAAAAGACATGAATGGAATGGAAATTTTTGTGAAATAGAAACTGGAAGCCATAAATTTAAATTCACATTCCAATTGCCAGAGGAAGGCTTGTATACATCATTCAATCTTGGAGATTCCGATGGATGTGTGCGTTATTGCGTGAATGTCACCACAATTATCAGAATCCAAATTTCTTATTTTCAGGTGCAATGCTTTTCTTACAGTTGACTAGTGTTGAAGAAGACATTAGTATTCCCAATCGTGTGCCCCATTAATCCGTCTGAATGTCCGTGTCCGGATGCACTCAAAAACGGTTGTATTAGACGGATGGAATTCAACAAGTGAATCGCTTTTTCTTGCTTCCTTTCATTTACAAAAACGATTAGTTAAAATTTTCACATGGACACATAAATTTTGTTTATAAGTTATACTTCTCGAATCCTTTCCGTCAATTTCAAACACTTTTGGGGGTTGTTACTTTGATGTTGAATTGTCAATCTCAAAACGTTGGTTAGTGCTTGGTGAGGCAATACCTGCTCAAGTATATATTGATAACAAGTATATATTGATATATATTGTATTTATTGATTTTTTGCATTTTCTTGAAATTCTGAATAACAGATTTCAGATTTGAATTTTTGACATTTT